GCAACACCGTGTCGAATCATCTGTGGCCGAATCTTCTCTCGTGTTTTTACATTTTCCACTTTCATTATCATCTGAAATACAATTCTTGGCTCGAATTTTCAATATCCCACATTCTTTTGCTTTTAAAATGCATTTGTATGAACGAAATCACCTCCCCCCAAACCCTCGACTCCCCACGGGATCCCCAACCTTGTTGGCGGGAGTCGGGGACTTCGTCTCTGACGGGTGCGGTCCTATCATAAACTTCTACCGTACTAGTAAACGCTTCGTGTATTTACAGTAATGGATATCAATATGTAACTAGGTGATATTTATCATTCGTAATTCAGACTAGAAGATTGCTGACGTATGAAATAGTCTGTCCGTAAAGGAATAAATTCATAGAAAACGAAAGAGTATGTTATTTATAGAAAATGTACAATTTATAGGGGGGACTTCCTTCGTACAATATCTGCAGTATTATAAAGAGCGTAATGCCATGCCAAAAGACGACGAAGAAAAGAAAAGAAGAAAAACGAAAACCATTATTGTTATTATCATAATTAATACTATTATAATTATCATTATCATTGTTATTATTACTATTATAATTATTATCATTATCGTTATTGTTTATCATTATTATAGTTCTTATCATTATCACTATAATTATCATTATTATCGTGGTTATTATTACTACTACTATTGTTACGATTATTATTACTACTACTACTACTACTACTACTACTACTACTATATTATTATTATTATTATTTATTATTATTATTATATTATTATTATTATTATTATTATTATATTATTATTATTATTATTATTATTATTAAATTATCACTATTGCCATTATCTTTATCACTATTATCAACATTATCATCATCAATATCATTGTTATCATAATTATTGTTATTGTTACCATTATCATTATCACTATATTTATCATAATCAGAATTATGTTTGTAATTGTTTTTGTTGGTACTGTTGTTATTGTGTTTTTATTATTGTGTTGTTGATCTTGTGTTTATGTTATTGTTGTTGACTACTGTCGTTAATATTGTTCTTATCATCATTATCATCAGCATCACCATCATCTTCATTATTACTACCACTTTTGATATCAGTTTCATTATGATCACATAATGAACATTACTAATATTATCACCAACACTCCAGTTACCATTATTATCATAGCCATTACCATCACCAAAATATTCAACAAAATATTTTTCATTTCATGACCATCATCCACCACCACTGCATTTTTTTTTTCTTCTTCTTCTCCTTCTCCTTCTTCTTCTCTTCTTCTTCTTCTTCTTCTTCTTCTTCTTCTTCTTCTTCTTCTTCTCTTCTTCTCTTCTCTTCTTCTTCTTCTTCTTCTTCTTCTTCTTCTTCTTCTTCTTCTTCTTCCTCTTCTTCTTATTATTATTATTATTATTATTTATTATTTATTATTCCCCTTCTCTTCTTCTTCTTCTTCTTCCTCCTCCTCCTCTTCTTCTTCTTCTTAATCCTCCTCTTCTTCTTCTTCTTCCTCTTCTTCTTCATCATCATCATCTTCTTTTTCCTCTTCTTCTTCTCCTTCTTCTTCCTCCTCCTCCTCTTCTTCTTCTTCTTCTTTCCTTCCTTCCTTCTTCCTTCTTCTTCTTCTTCTTCCTTCTTCTCTTCTCTTCTCCTTCTTCTTCTTCTTTCCTCCTCCTCTCTTCTTAATCATCATCATCTTCTCCTCCTTCTTCTTCTTCTTCTCCTTCCTTCTCCCTCCTCTTCTCCTTCTCCTTCTTTTCTTCCTCTTCTTCTTTGTCATACGTGTCGGGGTGAACACGCACCAATGCATCAACGGGTGTCATTTATGGGTCAAAGGCGTGCCCGCGCATGACATAATCGGGTGACCAATATCTTATTTTTTTGCATGACATTAACCTCAATAACGAGAGAGAATTTGCTCTCGGACGGAAGGAAAAAATCGATTGAAAGTTGATGTTATTATTATTATCATTGTTATCTTCAGCTTTATTGTTATTATCATTATCATTGTTATTGTTATCACACCATTATTATGTTATATCATCATCACCATTGTTATTGTTATCATTATCATCATTATTATTATCATTATCATTGTTATCATTACCATTATTGTTATTATCATTATCATTGTTATCATTGTCATCATTACCATTATTATTATTATTATTATGATTATCATTGTTATTATTGTAATCATCCCCATTATTATTATTATCATCATTGTCATCATTATTACTATCATAATTGTTGTCATTGTTATCATTATTATTATTACTGGTATCTTTATCATTGTTATCATTGCCATTATTATTATTATTCGTTTATTATATAATCGTTATTGGTCTAATTTCCATTGCTATTTGTATGATCATCATCGTTATAATTGTTATCATCGTTGTTACATTATATATCAATGTATTGTTATATTTGTGATTGCGAATTCAGATTTGGTTATCTGCTCACCTTTCTTCCGTTTTCCTTCCCCTCTTCCATACTCTTTCTGACGACCTCTCTTTCTCTCATTCTCTGTCTGTCTGTCTGTCTGTCTGTCTGTCTGTCTCCACATACGTATACACACACACACACACACAACACCACACACACACACACACACACACACACACACACACACACACACACACACACACACACACACACACACACACACACACACACACACACACACACACACACACACACACACACACACACACACACACACACACACACACACACACACACACACACACACACACACACACACACACACACACACACACACACACTAGTGTACACACACCCGCAAACGCGTGCACACGCTCACGCGCGCGTCTGTGTGGCTGTGTCTGTCTGTCTTTCTCATTTTCCTTCTCCAGTCATATTCCTTCCCACATTCTCCACTCCCTTGCTCCTCTTCCTCCATTTATCACAATCCCTTTCCCCACTTCTTTCGCATCAGCGCAATGAAACTAAAGCGAAAATCTTCATAAACGCACAATCATTATTTTTCATTATTTTTCACAATTCTTTCTCGGAACTCTCTCATAAATTGCCTGAAACTTCCTTAACTTTTAACCTAATTCCCTATTTTCTCTTTTTTTTTTTCTTTGTGTATCTAATTTGGATTTTTATTTTATTCCTGGCTTTGTTTTATTGATCAGACGAGTATCTGGTAGCGGTAGGAAGACTGAGAAAGAGATCTATAGGCAGAATATATTGATCGCGGACATGTATACATAAACTCATGGTCTGGTTCACAAACACTAAATAATTCTCTCTCTTCTCTTGTCTGTCTGTCTGTCTATGTCTGTCTCTCTCTCTCTCTCTCTCTCTCTCTCTCTCTCTCTCTCTCGTCTCGTCTCTCTCTCTCTCTCTCCTCTCTCTTCTCTCTCTCTCTCTCTCTCTCTCTCTCTCTCTCTCTCTCTCTCATCTCTCTCTCTTTCCTCTCTCTCTCTCTCTCTCTCTCTCTCTCTCTCTGTCTCTCTGTCTCTGTCTCGTCTCTGTCTCTCTCTCTCTCTCTCTCTCTCTCTCTTCTCTCTTCTTCTCTCTCTCTCTCTCTCTCTTCTCTTCTCTTTCTCTCTCTCTCCTCTCTCTCTCTCTCTCCTCTCTCTCCTCTCCCTCTCTCTCTCTCTCCTCTCCCTCTCCCTCTCTCTCTCCCTCTCCCTCCTCTCTCCCCCTCTCCCTCTCTCTCTCTCCCTCTCTCTTCTCTCTCTCTCTTCCTCTTCTCTTTCTCTTCTCTCTCTTTCTTTTTCTCTTCCTCTCTTTCTCTCTTCCTCTTCTGTCTCTCTCTTTCTCTATTCTTTTCTCTCTCTCTCCCTCTCTCTCTCTCTCTCTCTCTCTCTCTCTCTCTCTCTCTCTCTCTCTCTCTCTCTCTCTCTCTCTCTCTCTCTCTCTCTCTCTCTCTTCTCTCTCTCCTCTCTCTCCCTCTCCCTCTCCCTCTCCCTCTCCCCTCTCCCTCTCCCTCTCCTCTTCTCTCCTCTCCCTCTCTCTCCCTCTCCCTCTTCTCTTTTCTCTTCTCTCTCTCTTTCTTTTTCTCTTCCTCTTTCTCTCTTCCTCTTTCTCTCTCTCTCTCGTCCGTTCTCTCTCTCTCTCTCTCTCTCTCTCTCTCTCTCTCTCTCTCTCTCTCTCTCTCTCTCTCTCTCTCTCTCTCTCTCTCTCTCTCTCTCTCTCTCTCTCTCTCTCTCTCTCGCATTTACTATTACTGTTGCCGTCTCTGCTGCTATTGCTACTATTACTACGTCCACTACTACTGCTGTTGCTACTATTATTATTACTGCTACTACAATTACTACTACCACCACCACTACTACTATTAATAGTACTTCCATTATTACTTCTACTTCTACTACTACTACTATTATTATTACTACTACTACTATTACTACTCCTACTACTGTTATCATTACTACTACTATTACTACTACTATTGTTATTATTACTACTACTATGACTACCACTGCTAAACTTATTACAGATTTACTAAATTTACTCATCAGGAGGTGCAATACAGTGGCGGTTCACTGCTATACGATGTAAACACTGTTTGACATACGTACTTATTTATTATCTATTATACTTATTTATTATCGATTATTCGTTATTCGTCGATTATGGTATCTTATATATTTCTTTCTATCGCTTCGAAAGATGTAGTGAGATGTTTAGTAAAAAGTTTGAATGAGAATTAATAATTTTGCAAAACAATATGATTTAACCTTACGATGTGAAGTTTTCAAATCACATTTTTTCTGTATTTCATCTATACGATCGTAGTAAGATTCTTGATATTAGTCCTGAAATTATTATATGCACTGAAATTACCATATGCAACAGATAGTTGAATTCTAGTACAAAAACATATTGATATTATTAGTGAGGACAACATATGCAACAAACGATGAATATCTAGTACAATGCTAATTAAATACTAATTAATTAAATGCCAATTAAAATACTGAAGACCCTAATGATTAAGAAATATATTAGTATGCTGTGGAGAAGTATGTAAAGTATGTCCAGTGATATTGACCAAAGAAGCTGCTGGACTTTCTGGGAAACACAGACCACTCTACTGAATTATGCAACTGTAGCCAATTTACAGCCTGAGTAAAGAGTGGAGATTGGCTGTTGCAGAAAGGACTGCGTGAATCACCATCTGCAATTGCGGAAAAGAAAGAGAAATTGTTAACAGTGAGAGGAATCATGGAAGTATTTGATTAGCTGTGATGTTGATGTTGTAGCTGTGATGCTTGATGTTGCTGTAGCTGTGATGTGTTGATGCTGTAGCTGTGATGTTGATGCTGTAGCTGTGATGTTGATGTAGCTGTGATGTGATGCTGTAGCTGTGATGATGCTGTAGCTGTGATGTTGATGCTGTAGCTGTGATGTTGATGCTGTAGCTGTGATGCTGTAGCTGATGTGAAGCTGGATGTTGATACTGTAGCTGTGATGGTGATACTGTAGCTGTGATGTTGATACTGTAGCTGTGATGTTGATACTGTAGCTGTGATGTTGATACTGTAGCTGTGATGTTGATACTGTAGCTGTGATGTTTGATGTAGCTGTATGTTGATGCTGTAGCTGTGATGTTGATACTGTAGCTGTGATCTTGATACTGTAGCTGTGATGTTGATGCTGTAGCTGTGATGTTGATGCTGTAGCTGTGATGTTGATGCTGTAGCTGATCATGATGTGATGCTGTAGCTGTGATGTTGATGCTGTAGCTGTGATGTTGATACTTGTAGCTGTTTGATGTTGATGATACTGTAGCTGTGATGTTGATGCTGTAGCTGTGATGTTGAGTGAGCTGTTGAGTTGATACTGTAGCTGTGATGTTGATGCTGTAGCTGGTAGCTGTGATGATGCTGCTGCTGATTTTGCTGTAGCTGTGATGTTGATGCTGTAGCTGTGATGTTGATGCTGTAGCTGTGATTTTGATACTGTAGCTGTGATGTTTGATAGCTGTGATGTTGATGCTGTAGCTGTGATGTTGATGCTGTAGCTGTGATTTTGATACTGTAGTGATGTTGATGCTGAAGCGTGATGCTGTGCTGCTGTAGCTGTGATGTTGATGCTGAAGCTGTGATGTTGATGCTGTAGCTGTGATGTTGATGCTGAAGCTGTGATGTTGATACTGTAGCTGTGATGTTGATGCTGAAGCTGTGATGTTGATATAGCTGTGATGTTGATGCTGAAGCTGTGATTTTGATACTGTAGCTGTGATGATACTGTAGCTGTGATGTTGATGCTGTAGCTGTGATGTTGATGCTGTTAGCTGTGATTTGATACTGTAGCTGTGATGTTGATGCTGTAAGCTGTGATGTTGATGCTGTAGCTGTGATGTTGATACTGTAGCTGTGATGTTTGATGAAGCTGTGATGATGCTGTAGCTGTGATGTTGATGCTGTAGCTGTGAGAGGAATCATGTTGGTGATGAAGTATTTGAGTAGCTGTGATGTTGATACTGTAGCTGTGATGTTGATGCTGTAGCTGTGATGTTGATGCTGTAGCTGTGATGTTGATACTGTAGCTGTGATGTTGATACAGTAGCTGTAGCTGTGATGTTGATGCTGTAGCTGTGATTTGATGCTGAAAGCTGTGATGTTGATGCTGTAGCTGTGAAGCTGTGTTGATATGCTGTGATGTTGAGCTGAAGCTGTGAGCTGTGATGTTGATGCTGTAGCTGTGATGTTGATGCTGTAGCTGTGATGTGATGCTGTAGCTGTGATTTGGCTGAAGCTGTGATGTGATGCTGTGCTGTGATGTTGATGCTGTAGCTGTGATGTTGATACTGTAGCTGATGTTGACTGTAGCTGTGATGTTGATGCTGTAGCTGTGATGTTATACTGTAGCTGTGATTTTGTGTGAATGTTGATACTGTGCTGCTGAAGCTGTGATTTTGATACTGTAGCTGTGATGTTGATGCTGAAGCTGTGATGTTGATGCTGTAGCTGTGATGTTGATGCTGTAGCTGTGATGTTGATACTGTAGCTGTGATGTTGATGCTGTAGCTGTGATTTTGATACTGTAGCTGTGATGTTGATGCTGTAGCTGTGATGTTGATACTGTAGCTGTGATGGTGAAGCTGTGATGTTGATGCTGTAGCTGTGATGTTGATGCTGTAGCTGTGATGTTGATGCTGTAGCTGTGATGTTGATGCTGAAGCTGTGATGTTGATACTGTAGCTGTGATTTTGATGCTGAAGCTGTGATTTTGATACTGTAGCTGTGATGTTTTTGATGCTGAAGCTGTGATTTGATGCTGAGCTGTGATGTTGATACTGTAGCTGTTGATGTGATGCTGAAGCTGTGATTTTGATACTGTAGCTGTGATGTTGATGCTGAAGCTGTGATGTTGATGCTGTAGCTGTGATGTTGATGCTGTAGCTGTGATGTGATACTGTAGCTGTGATGTTGATGCTGTAGCTGTGATTTTGATACTGTAGCTGTGATGTTGATGCTGTAGCTGTGATGTTGATGCTGTAGCTGTGATTTTGATACTGTAGCTGTGATGTTGATGCTGTAGCTGTTGATGTTGATGCTGTAGCCTGTGATGTGAATGCTGTAGCTGTGATGTTGATACTGTAGCTGTGATGTTGATGCTGTAGCTGTGATTTTGATACTGTAGCTGTGATGTTGATGCTGTAGCTGTGATGATACTGTAGCTGTGATGTGATGCTGTAGCTGTGATGTTGATGCTGTAGCTGTGATTTTGATAGCTGTGATGTTGAGTAGCTGTGATGTTGATGCTGTAGCTGTGAATGTGATGCTGTAGCTGTGATGTTGCTGTAGCTGTGATGTTGATGCTGTAGCTGCTGTAGCTGTGATGTTGATGCTGTAGCTGTGATGTTGATGCTGTAGCTGTGTGATACTGTAGCTGTGATGTTGATGCTGTAGCTGTGATGTTGATGCTGAAGCTGTGATGTTGATGCTGTAGCTGTGATTTTGATACTGTAGCTGTGATGTTGATGCTGAAGCTGATGATGTAGCTGTGATGTTGAGCTGTAGCTGTGATGTTGATGCTGTAGCTGTGATGTTGATACTGAGCTGTGATGTTGATACTGCTGTGATGTTGATGCTGTAGCTGTGATGTTGAATACTGTAGCTGTGATGTTGATGACTGTAGCTGTGATGTTGATGCTGTAGCTGTGATGTTTGATGCTGTAGCTGTGATGTTTGATGCTGAAGCTGTGATGTTGATGCTGTAGCTGTGATGTTGATGCTGAAGCTGTGATGTTGATACTGTAGCTGTGATGTTGATGCTGAAGCTGTGATTTTGATACTGTAGCTGTGATTGATGCTGAAGCTGTGATTTGATACTGTAGCTGTGATGTTGATCCTCGCTGAAGCTGTGATGATTGAATGTTGTGCTGTAGCTGTGATGTGCGTAGCTGTGATGTTTGATGCTGTAGCTGTGATGTTGAACTGTAGCTGTGATGTTGATACTGTAGCTGTGATGTTGATGCTGTACTGTGTGTTGATACTGTAGCTGTGATGTTGAGCTGTGATGTGTTGATGCTGTAGCTGTGATGTGATACTGTAGCTGTGATGTTGCTGTAGCTGTGCTGTTGATATGTGTGATGTTGATGCTGTAGCTGTGATGTTGATACTGTAGCTGTATGTTGATACTGTAGCTGTGATGTTGATGCTGTAGCTGTGATGTTGATACTGTTATGCTGTAAGCTGTGATGTTGATACTAGCTGTATGTGATGCTGTAGCTGTGATGTTGATACTGTTTGATGTTGCTGTAGCTGTAGCTTGATGTTGATGCTGAAGCTGTGATGTTGATGCTGTAGCTGTGATGTTGATACTGAAGCTGTGATTTTGATGCTGTAGCTGTGTTGTTGATACTGTAGCTGTGATGTTGCTGAAGCTGTGATGTTGATTGCTGTAGCTGTGATGTTGATACTGTAGCTGTGATGTTGATACTGTAGCTGTGATGTTGATGCTGTAGCTGTGGTGTTGATACTGTGCTGTGATGTGATACTGAAGCTGTGATGTTGAATACTGTAGCTGTGATGTTTTTGATACTGTGAAGCTGTGATGTTGATGCTGTAGCTGTGATGTTGATACTGATGTTGATGCTGTAGCTGTGTGTTGATGCTGTAGCTGTGTTGTTGATCTGTAGCTGTGATGTTGATACTGAAGCTGTGATGTTGATGCTGTAGCTGTGATTTTGATACTGAACCTGTGATGTTGATGCTGTAGCTGTGATGTTGATACTGTAGCTGTGATGTTGATGCTGTTGCTGTGAGTTGATGCTGAGCTGTGATGTTGATGCTGTAGCTGTGATGTTGATGCTGTAGCTGTTTTTGTACTGTGCTGTGATGTTGATGCTGTAGCTGTGATGTTGATGCTGTAGCTGTGATGTTTGATGCTGTAGCTGTTGATGTGATGTTGTGTGATGTTGATACTGTAGCTGTGATGTTGATACTGAAGCTGTGATGTTGATTCTGTAGCTGTGATGTTGATACTGTAGCTGTGATGTTGATACTGTAGCTGTGATGTTGATGCCTGTAGCTGTGATGTTGAATGCTGTAGCTGTGATGTTGATGCTGAAGCTGTGATGTTGATGCTGTAGCTGTGATGTGATGCTGAAGCTGTGATGTTGATACTGTAGCTGTGATGTTGATGCTTGAAGCTGTGATTTGATACTGTAGCTGTGATGTTGATGCTGAAGCTGTTGATTTTGATACTGTAGCTGTGATGTTGATCCTGTTGTGTGATTTGATACTGAAGCTGTGATGTTGATGCTGTAGCTGTGATGTTGATGCTGTAGCTGTGATGTTGATACTGTAGCTGTGATGTTGATGCTGTAGCTGTGATGTTGATACTGTAGCTGTGATGTTGATACTGTAGCTGTGATTTGATGGTAGCTGTGGTGTTGATACTGTAGCTGTGATGTTGATGCTGTAAGCTGTGATTTGATTGAGCTGTGATGCTGTAGCTGCTGTATGTGATGTTGATACTGTAGCTGTGATGTGATGCTGTAGCTGTGTGTGATTTGATGTGCTGTAGCTGTGATGTTGATACTGTAGCTGTGATGTTGAGCTGTAGCTGTGATGTTGATACTGTAGCTGTGATGTTGATGCTGTAGCTGTGATGTTGATACTGAAGCTGTGATGTTGATGCTGTAGCTGTGATGTTGATACTGTAGCTGTGATGTTGATACTGTAGCTGTGATGTTGATACTGTAGCTGTGATGTTGATGCTGAAGCTGTGATGTTGATGCTGTAGCTGTGATGTTGATACTGAAGCTGTGATGTTGATGCTGTAGCTGTGTGTTGATAACTGTATGTTGAATGTTGATACTGAAGCGTGATGTTGATGCTGTAGCTGTGATGTGATACTGTAGCTGTGATGTTGATACTGTAGCTGTGATGATGCTGTTAGCTGTGGTGTTGATACTGTAGCTGTGATGTTGATACTGAAGCTGTGATGTTGATACTGTAGCTGTGATGTTGATACTGAAGCTGTGATGTTGATGCTGTAGCTGTGATGTTGATACTGAACCTGTTGATGTTGATTGCTGTAGCTGTGAATGTTGATACTGAACCTGTGATGTTGATGCTGTAGCTGTGTTGTTGATACTGTAGCTGTGATGTTGATACTGAAGCCTGTGATGTTGATGCTGTAGCTGTGATTTTGATACTGAACCTGTGATGTTGATGCTGTAGCTGTGATGTTGATACTGTAGCTGTGAGTTGATGCTGTTGCTGTGATGTTGATGCTGTAGCTGTGATGTTTGATACTGTTGCTATGTTGAATACTGTTGCTGTGAATGTTGTACTGTTGCTGTGATGTTGATACTGTAGCTTGTGATGTTGATACTGTTGCTGTGATGATTGATGCTGTTGCTGTGATGTATGATACGTTGCTGCTGGATGTTGATACTGTAGCTGTGAGAGGGAAATCATGTTGTGTGATGAAATGTATTCGAGTAGCTTGTGTATTGTTGATACTGTAGCACTGTAGCTGATATGTATGTTGATGCTGTACTGATACTGGTAGCTGTGATGTTGATGCTTAGCTGTGATGTTGATACTTAGCTGTGATGTTGATGCTGTAGCTGTGATGTTGATACTGTAGCTGTTGTAGCTGTGAGCTGTTGATATACTGTAGCTGTGAGAGGAATCAGCTGTTGGTATGGAAGTATTCGAATAGCTGTGATGTTGATACAGTAGCTGTGATGTTGATACAGTAAG